GATGTTACGATACTTGCGGATGAATATCGATTTTTTTTTTCTAGGAAAGAAAATATCGATATATATCGCGATATCGATATTATCCTACAGCCCTAACACACACACATGCACGCACACACACACATGCACGCACACACACACACACACCCGTGATGATCGTCTCCTCCACACCAGAGAAACGGAGGAATCCATTTTATTGTGACGACCGTCTGAACTCTGCAGAGCGCCTGAAGTTTTCTCGGTTCTGAAGTGAAACTTTAACAGATATTTTCTTTATTCAGTTTCTATTTAAACTCCATCCGTCCATCAGATGCTGGTTTACCCACTCTGCCTCCTTTGTGGCATTAATGACTGTCTCCCCCTCGTTTCCCGTGTGTGTGTGTGTGTGTGTGTGTGTGTGTGTGGTCTGACTGATGGCTGGTGTGTGTCAGGCCATGACAGGGCCTCTAAAGACGAGAGGGAGAAGAAAGGAGCGAGCCGGCCAAGACGGATGGATGCCGAGGCCACAGAGCATGCTCAGACGGGGGGTTAGAGGTCAGAGGTCAGGCTAATTTGCAGCTTGTTGAATGGAAACACGTTTCGTCTGACGGATGGGTTGGGAGACTGCTCTGGTGTTTCCACATGGATGCAGATTGTTTCGTTTTAAAACCAAACATGACGACAAGCCGGGCCTTTGGGCGGCGGCCATCTTTGGATCCCTGGTTCAGATCCAGAGCAGACGGAGCTCACATCACAGGATGGATGGAATCGCAGCCTGCTGGAGTCCAGGCAGGAGCTGATGGACATTCAACACATTTATCAGAAACAGTCTGGGGAGGGGAAGCCGCTAAAGAAGCTAGGAAAGTCCAGATCGGCCCGGTAGAAACCGACCTGGAGACACGGAGGAGAAACTTTGACAACTTTGGTGTCGGTGCTTTGAAATTAGTGATGAGATCCAGCAAGCTGCGCTAGCAGTTTAGCTTAGCACTTTAGCTTGTTGGGTTAGCTTAGCATGCAGTTCATTGCATCATGCAGTGATTTCCGCGTTGGGACAGAGTCACTCAGCATGACCTGCTGTTGCTCAGACTGATAAAATCAGTGACATGAACTCTGAACTCTTCAGTTACTACATGCTGTGATCTGGTTGGGGGGTCGGGGGAAGAGAGGTCGGCCTTGTTGCCCCCCGGGGTAACAGTCGGGGCACTCTGGGTGTGAACAACCTGAGGAGAGATTTCCTCCTGGAACCAGTTAAACCTGGAATCGTTTCCAGTTGTTCTGGATCCCTGCAGGGATTCTGGATGCAATTATTCCCAGAACCTGGTGGACTACTGTGGAAACATTCGGGACTACTGGGACATTACTGGGACATTACTGGGACCATTACTGGGACCATTACAGCAGTGCTGATCTTATCTGGAGAGTAGTTAGCAGAACCATCAGCAGCCGTTCTGTTCTTGGTTCTGGAAGCTGAGCAGCAGGTTTGTTCCTCGGGATTAGTGACTGGAAACCAGTCCCTCCCAGTACCTGCAGACTGGGAGCCGAACATGACAGAACTTCAGAACCGGACGGTATTTGCTGTGACCCTAAAGAGGCTCGTGACCCGCAGCCTCCTGAGCGCCTTCAGCTTCTGTTCCTCAGTGTGAAGGAATGGAGAAGCTCAGCATTTTAGCTTGGTGGTTTAGCTCAGTGTTTTAGCTCGGTGTTTAGCTTAGTGCTTTAGCTCGGTGTTTAGCTTAGTGTTTTAGCTCGGTGTTTAGCTTAGTGCTTTAGCTCAGTGTTTAGCTTAGCTTAGTGCTTTAGATGTTCGTCTCCGCCGCTGCTCCACTGATTCCTGACGTAGCCATGAGGCTCAGGAAGCTGCTGCTCCATTGGTCGTCCTGCTGAGTTTTTTTTCCACGGTTCATGGTGTCTCACACACACACACACACACACTGAGGTGTGTTTCTGCTCCACTCAGGAGTTTCTGAACAAATTGATTCTTGGTTCTGGTTCTGTTGCAGGTTTCTTCCTGTTAAAGGGAGTTTTTCCTCTCCACTGACGCTACTTTCACACTCTGTATGAAGTCAATGATTCATTTACTTAGAAAATGTTTAAAGTAATTTGAATAATTAATTGAACTTATTGTACTGTTTGATCAGCAGGATCAATTAGCATGTGTGTATTGATTGAATTAAAGTCACTTGTTTGTCAGGACTTTGAATTGATATTTGTTGTGCTTTTGAAAAAAACAGACGGTTCTGAAGTTGGAGGAAAGCGGATCCTGTCCTCAGTGGAACAGGATCCCGGCTGTAAGCTGGGATCTGATCTGATTCTCCTCTGAATTTGACCTGTAGTTTCTGGTGAAACTCTGACGGTTGTAAGTCAAGAAGAAGTTGACTTGCTCCGTTTCTTTCTGGACGATGGATGGACTGCTGTCTGAACCGGGCCGGTCGGCCTCCTGTCTTCCTCTGGTCCCGTCGCCCAGCAGCAGCTGCGTGTCCCTGCCGCGGCGCCGAGCCTGGAATGTTTCACGCCGCTGAGATTCTCGCTTGGACATATTTCAGGCATCAGCGTCGCAGTACAGGCAGGAAGCATCCAGAGAGCAGAGAATTAAATGCTCAACGAGACGCATCTGACCTCCAGTCTGAGCCGGTCAGAACCAGATGACTCAAATTAAAAAGCTCGGTGTCCTCGGCTCCAAAAAGCATCGTTATCTGCTGGCTCAACGGCCCACATTCCAGCCCAACACGACTCGGGTCCTCTGAAGATTCGCCTCATGTGAAACGGCTTTGAGGAAACTGGAAACTCGTGACCGGCTCGTCGTTAAGGTGCTGACTTTTCACTCTTCCCAAACAGAGTCAGGCGGTTAACGTCCAGGCCGGTTCTGCTCCAGTTGAGCGTTTCTGTCCCTGTGGGCCGGTTCAAGAACTGTGTTCCAGGATGTTTACAGCAACTACCAGCCATAGATCTACGTTACATGGTTTCAAACCGTTTGGGTTTAATGCAGCCAAACGATGTAAACCACATGACCAGCAGTACGCGGCCCGGCCGGCGCCGGTCACCCCAGAGCCGCTCAGCTAATGCTGCTGGAGATGAATCTGACCCGGTCGGACCGGGCCAGAACCGGCTGAAGCCATGCTGATGGAAAATGGCTTCAGCTCCTGCAGGGATGGTTCTGGATCCGCCTGGATGGCGACTCGTTTCCATGATGCAGTTCCTCCTACCAGAACTGCTCAGCCCCCAGGCTTTGGGTCAGAACGTAGACGGATCCAGAGCTTTACTGTCGCTCTGCTCTGTCCTCACACCACAGCAGGATCTCCATCCTGCCGTCCTTCAGGAACAAACGCCAGCTCCCTGACGGAGCTGAAGGCAGGTAGGCTGTTCTGTCCGACCCGGAGGAAACGCTCCTCCTTTTCCTGGACCCGCCTCATCAGATGGGGAGAAGCAGAACCTTCTCTAAGGAGCTCGACGCTCAGGCAGAACACCTCCAACCCGACACATCGGACGCCATCTTGTTGTGAGTCGCTCGCAGACTGCTTGTCTCCAGGAAATTTGATTGGCTGAGGAATCGGAGGGAATCATTTCCAAAGCAGTCTGTGACAGACGAGCCATCGACAATGAAGCCACAAGATTTTCCTGGAATTGACTGAAGTTTGCAGCTGTGGAGTTAAAATCCTCAACTTAGCAAAAATACAAAACGCAAGACAATATAAAACTGTTAGTGGAGACGACTCACTGGGCGAGTTCATCCTGGAACCACCGGGTTTCCATTCGATGGCGTTTCTCTGTGTGAGGTGTCTGGGGGTCTCACATCTAAGGAGATGTTCCTCCATGCTGAACGTGGCTGTCGGCTCATTGGTCACTCAGGGAAACCTTCACTGATTGGTCGAAGTTCCATGTGACAACAAATATTTCCAACGTTTGTTTGTATTTCTGTGAACAAGCTCAAAGTTTCACATGCCTAACTGTTGCTTCCTGGGTCTGATTGACTTAAATGGGACCAGAACCAAACCTGGAGCGAATCGGACCTCCATCCCAGCCAGAGTTCTGCTGAACAGGCTCCGGTCAACATCCCTCCTCACTGTGAGCCTCATTGTTTCGGTTCTCAGTCACCCAACACTGCAGCACATTATTCAGACGTAAATCTTCATAATGCCCCTTTAACCTCCATAATCACATGAAGATTAGATGAGTCATAAAACCTGAGCAGGCAGGAGACAGCCAGGCTCACGTGAAGCTCTGGGTTCTGCACAGAAACTCGTGTCAATCCAAGCAAAAGGCCAAAGTTTATTCTTGGTGTTTTTGTTTCTGAAATATTAATTTAGTTTTCAGATTTTGCTTCCCGCTCTGCTGTCTGCTGGTTCTAAATCTGCAGCTGCAGCAGTTTTCACCTGTTGACCCCTGAGCCGTGGCATTTACACACATTTACAGCCTAATTTAATGAAATCGATTCAGATTCACTGCTGAACTTGTCTGGTGCTTCAGCAGGGAAGGCCACAAGCAGACCTGCTGTTCAGCTCTGGCTGCATGAATACCCATGAGCCACCAGGAGCTGAACGCTGCAGCGTGTCGGTTCCTGTGTGCTTCATGTTCAGCATCTACGTCCCGTCAGCTTCTGCTTTCAAAATCTACATCACGACGTTTCCTTAAAATGAAGTGAAATTAGTTCTCATGAAATGTTTTAAACCAACAACGTGAGGATTAAACCTGCAGACTTTACCTGCAGGACATTTTTCAGGTTTTGCAGAGAATCATTTACCTTTCAGCTGAAAACTTGATTTGATCAAAGTAAAATATCAGCAAATGACGAGAAAATAAACTGGAACCGACGAGTTGAGTTACATGAGATTCAGCAAAACGATTCTACAGTGGAGTCCAAGGACCGAACCGGTCCACCAGAACCGAACCGGTCCACCAGAACCGAACCGGTCCACCAGAACCGAACCGGTCCACCAGAACCGACCGGTCCACCAGAACCGAACCGGTCCACCAGAACCGACAGGTCCAACAGAACCAATGGAACCGACCGGTCCACCAGAACCGACCAGTCCACCAGAACCAACAGGTCCACCAGAACCAATAGGACCAACAGAACCAACAGGTCCAATAGGACCAACAGAACCATCCACCTGCAGTAGCCACTGTCCAGCCTGAAGAGGGCAGCACTGAGACACTTTCAGGCCGAAAACTGCTGAATTATGCAAATTATATGAAAATGTCTTGATTTCTATGCAAACACAAACACAGAACACTAACGGAACAATTTAAATGATCTGCAATAAAACAGTTAACTTTGGTTTAGTCACTCTTTAAAAATGTTGAATGAAAAGAACTGAAGTGTAAAAAATCTGCAGAGCGACAGAGTCCAACCAGACTCGGCAACAAATTATTATAGATACCAGAAAATAATGTCTTTAGATGTCGATGGAACAAAAGCAGGTTTTAGCAGCTTTTTAGGGAATAATTACTTAAATTTCAGAGCAGAAAAATACTGAATGTACTTGTAATCATTTCAGTAAAATCATTTCCACTGATGGAAACAAAATACTCAGAAGTGGCTCTTATAATAACTAACAGGAGGTGAGCTAACGGCGCCTCCCAGCTGCCTGGAAGGAAAAACGTTTCATCGGTTTTCCAGCCTCATAACATTCAGGCGTCTAGTCAAAGTCAGGAGGATGAATTTCCTTCTTTCAGCTTCTCTGAGTCATTTCACTCCAGGACTGAAAGGGTTTCAGCGAATAAATCAGTTATGAGGACAGAACAGTTCACGTCAGGTTTTCAGACGCTCTGCTGTCGGCTGAGAAAACGATTCATTTTATGTCCGTCGATACCAAACTGATGTCAATGTCTTCCAACCTGAATGTTTGCTCTAGAATAATAAACTACATACTTGTATTTATCTTGGAGCCAAATGAAGGGCAGATTGTTCTCAGGTGAAGCTCTGGCTGGTCCCGACTTTCTGAAAACCCAAACTGGGAAATTTATGGCTGCGTGCTTTTATTTATTTTTTTCACAGTTTTTAAATATTTGTGGGAAGAAATAAGTTCTGATGCGTGTTCTTTAGGTTCAGCAACGTCTGGATCCGGTTGGCTGATCAGACTGAAGGAGCCGCGGCGTCCAGATCCAGAGCTTCTAGATGCGTCTCTGCTCTGAAGCCCAGGATGGAAAACATCCAGCTGCTCTTTTCAGTCTGGACCAGAGATTCATCTGGAGGCAGCAAACCCGCCATCAGTCTGGAGCTCTTACTGAAACTGACCCAGAGAAATCTTTCCACTTCAAGGGAAATACTTGACTTGTGTCACATGACCTGCAGCAGCCAATCAGGCCTGGTTTTTGGATTTGCTGCAGACTTTATTTTATTGATCTGTTTCCGTTTTGCTGCTCTGACAGTTTCAAACCGTCTGCATGTCCTCCCCCCAGGATTTGTCTGGTTTTGTCCCGTTTTCGGGTCGCCCCTCCAGCCAGGGAGAGAGAGGAGTCTGCACCTCCTCATTGGCTCACAGGCAGAGCAAAGTCCCTCCTTCCTCCTGAGGAGGAGGAGGAGCAGTGAGGGTGGAGGGACAGGCGTACAGACGTGTTGCAACAGATGGCCTGAGCAGCGGCGGCTGCACCGCTGAACTCTGGGACGGCGATAGACTGAGAGGAAGAGGAGGGAGGAAGGAAGGAGGTGTGGGAAAGTCCGATCTGAGGAAAACTTCCTCCTGCTGCTCCTCAGCAGGAAAACATGAGCAGAAGTTCTAGTGGATCCGTAGATGGGAGCAACAGCTACACAGTCTGATCTTCATCTTCCTCCTGCCGGTCCGGTGAGAGAGGAGAACACCTGCTGAAGCCCGGAGGAGCAGAGGAGGAGCTGCAGGAGGAGCAGAGGAGGAGCTGCAGGAGGCACGGCGGCAGCAGGAGGTGAGTTTCTCCTCGTTGCCCCACTTTGCTGTTTTCAGTTGTTGCTGCGTTTGTTGCTTCGTGCTGCGGAGCGTCAGCTGATCGACTGCAGGAGGAACGGAGGAGACGCCGGGCCTCCTGCAGTCCAGGGCTGTCAGGGATCATTAACACACAGAACCGGCACCAGAACCGGCATCAGACCCAGCATCAGAACCGGCACCAGAACCGGCACCAGACCAAACAATCGGAAGATGTGAGAAACGAAACGGTTTCCTGATGAAGGACGGAGAGGAAAGTTTCCTCTGCTGTGGTTTAAACCGAAACTCTGAGCTGCAAACGTTCATTTAGGGTTCAAAAGTATTCATACCCCACAATGGCTGGGAATGATGGCATGAATGTGATGAAGACTCTGGAGGGAGATGAAGATTAGGGTGATGGCACAGAGGGCCTCCTGCAGAGAAAGCAGGCGGAAAGCGGCTCAGCTGTTTGGTTTACATACGAATTGATCATTGATTTATGATCAGCTACTTGCGACAGGATTCACATTCAACCTTTCAGTTCAAAATGTGAATCAGTTTGAACTGAACTGTTCTTTAAGGTTTAAACTGCAGATCTGGTTGTTTAGAGGAAACCTGTCAGCCTTCCTGCTCAGGTCATAATATTAACAGTAATAATGTTTTTATTAATAATTCATTATTATTTACAACAAGCAGCAACTTTGTCATCTGACCTTCACAGGTCCAGATCGGCGCTACAGATGTTAGCATCTCAGATTCCTCTAGAAACTCTGAGCTGCTGCTTTCATAGTTCAAACACTAAATACATTTTAACATCTTGGTTTGACCAGAAGCCACAAAACAAGAAACATTTTCAGTTTAAAACCTGAATAACTGGATAAATTGACACATGAGCCCAGCAGCCTGATCTTCATCAGGTTGGAGCAAAAACGTTTCCAGAGTTTCTTCATTTAGAAATGTGGACGCTAACATTAGCATTAGCTGCTACATGTTTAGCATTGAGAAGCTAATTTAGGTTAGCATAGCTTTGCTGTGCTCCGGTTCTGGTTCTGGATCTGGCTCCTGTTCTGATTCAGAGCCGGACCCAGACATGGAGAATCACCCATTCAGCTTCTCTGAACCTCAGTCGTCCAGAAACCTGAACTTTGACTGAAACTTGTTGGTTTAAAGCTGCTTTAGATTAACAGGATCATCTATGATTTAATCTGAATTAAAACTTTTCATTTAGTTGTTTTATTTGAACTGCTGTGTTTTTGAAATGTTCTGTACAAATAAATTTGACTCAAAGTGGAAAAATAATGATACACGATATATCGGCAGTAACATTGGTATCAGCCGATATTGGTCAGAATTGCTGCAGTAAATTAAACCAGGCTGAAATTAACAACCAATTAATTTTGGTTATTCAAGCTAATGGGAATTATTTCCATCTTGTTGCCATTTGTTTCTTTCCAAAGGTGTGAAAACATTAGAGAATTCATATATCAGTAAATATTGATTATTGGCCCAGACAGCAGGATTATAGTCGGATATTGATATCGGCCCAGATTTTCACATCGGTGCATCCCCAGAAAGAAACCAACATAAAAGGCAAATTAAACATAACTTATCTGTTTATATTTACATTCTGTTGAACATTAGATGCTAAAACATGTTTATACTACTCTTAATAACCAATAAAATCATATTTCATGTGAATGTTTACTCTGGTATTTTAGGCGCTTTCGCACTGCGCGGAACGGAACGGTTGTGTGCGCATTGCTCTCCGGGCTGCCATCCAGCGGTGCCGGACGTCATTATTTTTAAAACTAAACAATGTGGTTTGAGTTGGTTGGTTGCTAACTGCCAATTTAATAAAGAAGAACAGTTACTACTACAACGACAACAATGGACGACATGGATTTAATTTTGCTGCTCATCAACCTCATACAATTAATTAAATTCCGCCAACAAGCTACCCTCAGAAGACAAAATGCTGAACGACTTCTACGTATTGCCAGGAGAAATACGGAAGAAAAAATTACCTCATCATTTGACCAGGTCATCGCACTACATTGAGACGAATCCATTGTTAATTAAAACTAATAATAAAAATATTGCAAAGAGCACTCTTTACAAAATATAGTAGTGAGAGCCAGCTGTCAACTTGTTACCGTCACCAAAACGGGTGAGACCAGACTGAAAAAGTGCTTATTTTCCGAGCTGCATGTTTCCAGAATGTATGAGATACATGAGTCTCAAATTTTTGGCAGCTCGTTCTTTGCGCAAAGAAATTACTCGCCTATGGTAAGCAGAAAGAACTTAATCACTCTTTTTAGCACTTCAGACCGCCAGCAGACAGGAAACCGTTCTGTTTTTAACAAGTAAAAGAGATAAAAGCTTACCTCTTTCCTGTGATTGGGCCCAGACGGCTCCCGTCCACAGTCAGGCTGAAGCGAGTCACCTTTCTTCCCCTGGTTGGTCAATTGTTCATTCAACGTCGGGTGTCACCACTTTTATTGAGGATTAGAAAGGTGGCTATACTCTTAAATATCTAAGTAAAAGAAATAATGCACAGAGACGTAGTTCTTGCTGCTAGGCCATAGACGAGCTGGAGATTTATTACACTTCCACGGATTCCTCGTTACAGTTTCTTCAGTTCAGTACAAAATCTTCATCATCATCGTCTTGTCACAAAAAATCTCTCCGAAGTCTTACCACCAACCTATTTTATACCTTCTCATCTTCATCAGAGTGTTTTGGAAAGTTTCAACCAATGGCGTGCAACTGTTGTTTTGCAGAAAGATTCAGGCACGCTTCATACTGAGTGTGTATTGGGCGACCTTTAAAATATTTTGGACCTCACGAACTCAACATCTGCTCCATTTCAGAATTGCTGAATAGAACAATTTATCTCAAATTGTTGATTTTATCTTGCACAAACAGACATCCTTTCCAGTAAATTCTGGCTCCATTTGCGCTTTGCACGCAAATGGAAGGAAAGAATTCGGTCAGGTTGACCTGGTGCGAAGCCAAAGTCTCTTTCCACAGAACCGAGGCGCCAAGGTCTTTTTTCCGCCAAACAACTCCTTAGATAGTATTTCCGCTCTTACACGTCCGTCATGAATGCTTGATTGTTATTGGTCCAAATTGGACGCTTCTTACACATGGGGGCGGGGCATCAGGGAGGGATTTCTCACGATGGCGGACAATAGAAAGTATGACAGCGGAGGAGGAACGAAAGTAAAACAAGAGCGGGACAGAGAGGTGATGAAGAAAATATCCAAGCTAACGGGGATTTTTTAAAACCTCATATCGGACATGGAACCGAACCATAATTTTTCTCCGCTTCTCAAAACGTTAGCCTAGCTAACAGCGGCTCTACGGTCCGCCAGAACCTGGAGCTGGGTCTGATCTGGTGCTTGTGGAGTCAGAGGCGGTGGAGCGTTCGGGTTCGGGTGTTCGGGCTGGCTGAGCAAGAAGCAGGGAGCTGTCAAAATATGGATGTTAATTTTAAAGCATCGGAACATCTTTACAAACATCAGAAATGATTCTTCTCCAGATCGCGCTTTGAAAGCCAGCTCCAAGCGGTGAGTACATCCCAACAGGCTGTTATCCTCCGGTCACCGCGGCTGTATTTTGTATTTTCAACGATGTTAAAAGTCAGTGATGCTTTGAAAGCATCACTGACAGCGGAGCAGGAACGAAAGTAAAAGAAGAGCGGGATAGAACAATTTTTCCAATTGTTCTATTGGAAAAATGCAATAGAACAATTTAAAAAGCATGAAAGCAGCAAAAGTAACGCGACTGCTCTGTTGCTCAATGCGATCTTTAAAAAGCGGAGCTAGCTTTAGCCTCCAGCTAGCAGCGGCGGGAGGAACTAGCAAATATGGCGACGGGCCAAATTAGCTGCGGCGCGTCCTGCCCTGACACGCAGCGACATCCGGTCATCACTGAACTAACGTTTTAACCAGGTTTGGCTGTGAGGGGGAATAACCTGTCTGAGCTTGGTAAGGAAATAAACCTGATAATTACAGAGAAAGATTCGGTTGATAAAAATTGAAAGATGGAGACGGATGAAAAAAGATAAAAATGAAGGATAAATAAATACATGTATAGGATGAATAGACAATACTGTCCAGTTCTTCTTCCTTAGGAATGTTCTGTCTAATATGTAGACATATTCAAGACGTTCAAGTACTTTAAGAATTAGTAAATGTATTTTGTTTAGTAATGGTCTTCACATTGATTACAGTTATCAACTGTTCTACAGAAAAATCGCTATTTGAAAAAGAAAGCAGCGGTGCACCAATTGCAATCTTTTGGCCGATCTTTAAAAAACCCGAATTGCTGAATTTTTTTGTGTCTGTGTGCAAAATATAGCGAAAAAGTGACTAACTAGGCAACCATAGGGTGACTTGTAAACTGAGCAAATGGAGAGTTGACCTGGAGGGCAGAACTGTCTAGTGGCCCTCTCTCATGGCTGAGCATAGGAGAACAGTGGCTAAGTTTTTAAATTTTGTAGTTGGATAATGTTGGGTATAAATTTCCCTTCTCACCCTCCGCGGGTGGTCTCTCTCTCTCTCTTTCATCCTCTGAGCTCAGGTCCTCTACCAGAGGCCTGGGAGCTTGAGGGTTCTTCTCTAGTATCTTGGCTGTGCCTAGAACTGCACATTTCTGGACTGAGATGTCTGATGTTGTTCCTGGGATCTGTTTGAGCCACTGCCCCAGTGGCTACAATACTGGGTATATATAAGTGCCTAAGCAAGTTATAAATATAATGTATATGGTGATCTAAATATCATACAGATGTACAAATATGATACAATGTACATGTCCACAGCTATGGCTGTGGTGAATGTACAGGTTGTGAATAGAAATATACAAAGGTATGTACAAGTGTATACACGGTATACAGTATTATTGTGAATATAAATAATGTTCAGACTACAATATATACAAAACTATAACTGTGGTATATACCGTATACCACAACTGTATAACCATGACCAAGTGGGGCCCGGA